AGCTACTCAGGAGGCTGAGGCAGGAGAATTGCCTGAACCCAGGAGGCAGAGGTTGTGGTGAGCCAAGATTGCGCCATTGCACTCCAGCCTGGGTAACAAGAGCGAAGCTCCGTCTCAAAAAAAAAAAAAATAGCTGGGTGTGGCTGGGCACGGTGGCTCACGCCTGTAATCCCAGCACTTTGGGAGGCCGAGGCGGGTGCATCACCTGAGGTCAGGAGTTCAAGACCAGCCTGGATAATATGGTGAAACCCCATCTCCACTAAAAACACAAAAAATTAGCCAGGCAAGGTGGCAGGCACCTGTAATCCCAGCTACTTTGGAGGCTGAGGCAGGAGAATCACTTGAACCTAGGGGTTGGAGGTTGCAGTGAGCTGAGATAGTGCCATTGCATTCCTGCCTGGGCCACAGAGCAAGACTGTGTCTCAAAAAAAAAAAAAAAAAAAAATAGCTAGGTGTGATGGTGCATGCCTGTAGTCCTAGCTACATGGGAGGCTGAGGTGGGAGGATTGCTTGAGTCCAGGAGTTCAAGGTTACAGTGAGCTATGATTGTGTCACTGCACTGCAGCCGGGGCAACAGGGTGAGACCCTGTCTCTCTAAAAACCGGAGAAACAACAACAAAAAACAAACTAACAACAGCTTTCCTGGCTTCCAGACATGCCCGTAGAGGTTACTCTGTCCTCCCCCGGGCCTGAGTCCTGCCTCATCCTGAGTGCAAGAAGAACGCAGGAGGACTCAGCCCTCGGGAGAGCTGGCTTGCAGGAGTGTGGGTCTGGGGAGGATTTTCACTTTCTTCCAGAAATAATAACACATAAATCGCGCAAACAGTTTACCCAGCATTTCCATATACATGATTCTCCTTTGATCTTCACAGAAGCCCTTGAAGTAGTGATTATTACCCCATTTAAGATACAAGGAAACCCTCCCATGCATCTTCCCAGAACACAGATCCTACTCCACAGCAATTTACATAACCATTTTGAAACATTAAAATGACCGTCGATATATTATGGGTATGGAATGAAACACTGGATGACATTTTTAGATGAAATATGGGACTTCAAAGAAATCTCAGCTTTCGCTGGCTGCCCTGGGCTTTCACCTCAAACTCTCCGGGGAATGCGTCGATCCTCCTCCGCCAGGAGGGAGATGTCATCAGAAAGACTTGAGGAACTGGAACATCCATCCATCTCCACTTCTTAAATGCTGATGTGCCTACAAATCACCTAGGAATCATGGTGAAATGCAGATTCTTTTTTTTCTTCTTCTTTTTGAGACTGGGTCTTACTCTGTCTCCCAGGCTGGAGTGCAGTGGTGCGACCTTGGCTCACTGCAGCCTCGACTTCCTGGGCTCAAGCAGTCCTCCCATCTCAGCCTCCTGAGTAGCTGGGACTACAGGCAGGTGCCACCATACATGGCTGATACCTTCCTTCCTTCCTTCCTTCCTTCCCTCCCTCCCTCTCTCCTTTTTTTTTTTTTTTTTTGAGACGGAGTTTCCTTGTTATCCCGGCTGGAGTGCAATGGTGCGATCTCGGCTCACCGCAACCTCCGCCTCCTGGGTTCAGGCAATTCTCCTGCCTCAGCCTCCTGAGTAGCTGGGACTACAGGCACGTGCCACCATGCCCAGCTAATTTTTGTATTTTTAGTAGAGACGGGGTTTCACCATGTTGACCAGGATGGTCTCGATCTCTTGACCTCGTGATCCACCCACCTCGGCCTCCCAAAGTGCTGGGATTACAGGCGTGAGCCACCATGCCCGGCCCTTTTTTTTTTTGATATTTTGTAGAGATGGGATTTTGCCATGTTGCCCAGGCTGGTCTCAGACTCCGGAGCTCAACTGATCCACTTGCCTCAGCCTCCCAAAGTTCTTGGATTACAGGGGCGTGTCAGTACACCACTGTGCCCCAGATTCTATCTTTTTGTTTTGTTTTCTGAGACAGGGTCTTACTATGTTGCCCAGGCTGGTCTCGAACTCCTAGCCTCAAGTGATCTTCTCACTTCAGCCTCCCAAGTAGCTGGGACTACAGGCATGTAGCACCGTGCCTGCTTTGAAACGCAGACTCTGACTCAGTAGGACTGGGAAGTGCCTAAGTCTGCATTTCTTTCTTTTCTTTTTTCTTTCTTTTTTTTTTTTTTTTTCTTGAGAAGGAATCTTACCCTGTAGCCCAGGCTGGAATTCAGTGGTGGGATCTTGGCTTACTGCAACCTCTGCCCTCCTGGGTTTAAGCAATTCTCCTGTGTCAGCCTCCCAAGTAGCTGGGATTACAGGTATGCACCACTATGCCCCGCTAAGTTTTGTATTTCTAGTAGAGACAGGGATTCACCATGTTGGCCAGGCTGGTCTTGAATTCCTGACCTCAGGTGATTCACCCACCTCGGCCTCCCAAAGTGTTGGGATTACAGGCATAAGCCACCATACCTGGCACTAAGTCTCCATTTATTTTATTTTTTATTTTTTTGAGATGAAGTCTTGCACTGTCACCCAGGCTGGAGTGTAGTGGTGTGATCTCAGCTCACTGCAACCTCCACCTACCGGGTTCAAATGATTCTCTTGCCTTACCCTCCCCAGTAGCTGTGATTGAGTAACTGGAATTATAGGTGCCCACCACCACGCCCAGCTAATTTTTTGTATTTTTAGTAGAGATGGGGTTTCACTATGTTGGCCAGGCTGGTCTTGAACTCCTGACCTCGTGATCTGCCCACCTCGGCTTCCCAAATTGCTGGGATTACAGGCGTGAGCCACCGTGCCCGGCTCCAAATCTGCATTTCTAATGAGCTCCCAGGTAATGCCCATGGCCCACACTTTGGGTAGCAAGGCCGCAGACTAGCCAACTTTATTTCCCACTATTCACAACAACCCCACCTCCAGTCAGATGGTCTCTGAACTTGAGGGAGGTACACGAGATCTGGAGTCCAGCCTGGTTCCATGTCACAAGGTTGACACTTAGTTTCTTTATCTACGAGATGGGGTGGAACTTTTCTTTCCCTCACAGGGTTAAGTGTGAACTGGATGCAGTAACAGTGGAAAGGATTTAGTAAAGTACCTGGCCCTTACAAAGTTCTCAATGAACATTAGTTATAAGTGCATTTATGGAACTCCACTACCAAAATAGCACCATCCCAGTCCCATCCTGCCCCATTCTCACTCCTGTGAGATTGTGCTGGCCTAGAGCCAGAACCGGAGCAAAACTATTTTATAAAATGCAAAACTGTTTTTTAAAGAAGTTGAAATGGCTGCCCCATTCTCCTCACAATAACTACTGTCCTTGGCCTCTGTAAATAGAACTGCCAGTTTGTTCTGCAAAACTATGTAAAGCTGCTTACCTTTTCTTATCCGTAACTGCTAAAATCTGTGACTTCTATCACCACCCAGACGATGCGTAAACAAATGTGTATCTCGACTTCTGTAAACCACTGAAGTAACAAACAGAATGACAAAAGTCCCCTGGCCCTTGGAATGTCCGGACACCCCCGCCCTTGTCTCCTCCCAGGAGGTGAATCACAGAATCCCCTAGCCCTTGGAATGTCCGAAACCTTTTCATCCCCATCCCCGCCCCTCACCCCCACTCCCAAGGTGGTTTTTCGGGTATAAAAAATCGTGGCACCCTCCTTTTGACACCACAGGTTGGAGAGACGTGAGTCCTGTGTGGTCGCCGGCATAATAAATGACCCTGCAATCTGGCATACTTTTGTCTTGGTGATAACTTTCTACGCTCCGGTCAAATACAACACTCCTAACCTTCATCATTTGATTCCCTTTTCCAGAAACCCACACCAGCCCCCTCCAGCCTCAACTCCCAGACTCTCTGAGGGCCAGCTCCGATCCCAAAGTCCCCATGAAGGCTTCCCTTGCCATTCTCCACCCCGCCCCCAACTTCAGCTCCTTCTGAAAGCCTGCCATTAGTATTAAATTATATACAATACAGTGTGAAATCGGATATAATTGAGTGCTAAGTTGTTAGCATTTAACAATATATACTACTCACTAATTATCTGGGGATTTGGAGATGTGGGTGTGAGCCCTGAACTCTGCTGTTTATCTCCTCTGAGTCTCGGTTTCCTTGTCTGCAAAAATGGGATACTGAGAAGGTCTACCTTACAGGGCTGCTATATGGATAAACTAGGAATAAAGTGGAAGAAATCTGGGAGCATTTTCTTTCTTGCTTATCTTGGCTCCCCAGTCAGATTATAAATTCCTGGAGGGCAGTCCCAGGGGACGAGGAAGGAGAAGGAGTTTCGCCTGGGTGCCTGGAGGCCTGGGCTCCAGTCCTAGTTTATGACGATCATTGCTAAGGTTGACTTAGCACTTTCTATGCGTGACAGGCACGATTCTAACCCTTTTTGTGCCTAACTCAGTTAACCCTCATTGTGGTGAGGCTTAATTTCCTTGCCTACAAAATGGACTTATGAATACTTAAGGCACCCAGCAAAGGTGTGAGAGCCCTGAAAAATGCCAAGTTGATCTTCGTTGTTTCTCAGGAAACATTTATCAAGGGCTTACGCTATGGCTGACCCCCTTGCATATGCGATCGGGGCTTCACAAAAGCTCTGACCCGGTGTATATTCAGATACCTGTGTAGGCTCTGTGGATCCCAAATATCTGAGGCAGGTCTCTGTTAATTTAGAAAGTTTGTTCGGCCGAGGTTGAGGACACAGGCCCATGACAGCCTCAGGAGGTCCTGATGACATGTACCTAAGGTGGTCAGAGCACAGCTTGGTTTTATACATTTTAAGGAAGCATGACACATCAATCAACATGTGTAAGATGAACAGCGGTTCAGTCTGAAAAAGGTGTGACAACCCTAAGCAAAGGTGGGACAACTGGAAGGGGGGAGGAGGCTTCCAGGCCATAGGTAGATAAGAGGAAGGGGGGAGGAGGCTTCCAGGCCATAGGTAGATAAGAGACAAATGGCCGCATTCTTTTGAGTTTCTGATTCGCCTTTTCAAAGGAGACAATCAGATGTTCCTTTATCTCAGTGAGCAGAGGGGAGGCTTTGAATAGGAGGCAAGTTTGCCCTAAGGGGTTCCCAGCCTGACATTTCCCTTTAGTTTAGTGATTTGGGGACCCCAAGATTTATTTTCCTTTCACAACTGTAATCAACTGCTGGTTGCTGGCTGGGGGTGCTGCGCTGAACAGCCCCCAGTCATGTACGCAGTGGGAAAGGTACCCCCTGCTGTTGTATGAGTGGGCTGCAACCATACATTGTCAAGGGACCCCTGCAGGGGTCCTGAGAACACCCATTTAATTACATGCACAAGGGCGTTCCCGGTAGAGTACGTAACCTTCATCGGACTACCAAAGGCACCTGGGCCCCTCCCAAAGGAGAGGATTATAACACAATACACAAATGCAATGCCACGTGTCTGAATTAGATCCCCAGGAAGGCCTCTCCAATCCTTGGAGTCATCTTCAAAGCCCCACTCTGTCTTCCATGACACATCTAATCCATCAGCTCCACATGAAAACTACAGTGTATCTAAAATCTGACCATTTCTCCCTGCTCTCCCCTCCTTGGCTGGTTTGGGCCCAGACTGGAGTCCTGCTCCTGGCTGCCCCCTGCCCTCTGTTCTCCCTGCTGCCGCCCGGGGGACCTGATGAGAGGTAAGTGGAATCATGTCAATCTTCTGCCAGGACCCCAAGGGGGCTCCTGTCCCACTCAGAGTCAAGGGCAAGGCTATCCCAGTGGCCATGAGGCCCTGCACTCTGGGCCTCGACCCCCACCTCTCTGAGCCACTTCCCACTCCCCCTCCTCACTCCAGGGTCCTCAATACCCCCCAGGCTCCTGCCTCAGGCTCCATTCCTTCCAAGTGGAATGCTCTTCTCCCAGGAAAATTCCCACATTCCTCATCTCCTTCAAGACTTAACTCACAGCCGGGCGCGGTGGCTCACGCCTGTGCTGTGGCTCACGCCTGTAATCCCAGCACTTTGGGAGGCTGAGGCGGGTGGATCACGAGGTCAAGAGATCGAGACCATCCTGGTCAACATGGTGAAACCCCGTCTCTACTAAAAATACAAAACATTAGCTGAGCATGGTGGCGCGTGCCTGTAATCCCAGCTACTAAGGAGACTGAGGCAGGAGAATTGCCTGAACCCAGGAGGCGGAGGTTGCGGTGAGCCGAGATCGCGCCATTGCACTCCAGCCTGGGTAACAAGAGCGAAACTCTGTCTCAAAAAAAAAAAAAGA